AACACACATGTACACACACACACACCACAAATATACCATACACACTCACACCACACACATATGACACACACACCACACACATGCACACCACATACATACACACACCACACATACACTCACAACACACATATACCACACATATCACACCCACACACATACCACACACTCACACACATATCACACACACCGTGTGTGTGTGTGTGTGTGTGTGTGTGAGTGTGTGTGTGTGTGTGTGTGTATGCGGCACATCTCAGAACCTCCTGTATCTCGAGTACCTTTCCTGATGATGCCCTAAGAGGTTATGCAGTGAGACATGGGACATATTTTCTAGAGTTGAGTTCTCTGACGGGTTTTAGATTTTTATTCTGATGTCTTAAAACAAATTCTGCTGAAGCATTACAGAGACCTCTTGTTTGGGGTTTTAGTGCAATGAATGGATACCAACAGGTCAACCGAGTCAGCATTTAGATGCAAAGATTGAAACTGTCCTGTCATTAAATCAGTGTTGTAATTATAGTTCTGCATAAACTGAATTCTTCTGAAAACCCCAAACCGTTTCCTGAAGCTGAGAAGTTCTGCCCAGTACTTGGGGGTGGAGGGGTGGCAGGAACCGTGAGCAGAGCTGGGGGACTCTCCTGCTCACGGCCTGTCTACTATGAGGGAGAGTCTCGAAGATGAGCCTTGTTTAGAAAGCAGACCTGTTCTTTTCACAGCGGAGGGGGAAGTGTAGAGACCCACAGAGGTTTCCAGAGGTCTGAGAATCTGAGCTTGCTTTACCCAGCAGGGCTGCATAAGGGGATGATTTGACCATGGGTGTGGTTACCAGGTGTTTGGAAGGGTCTACACCTGGCTGTGAGGTGTGCTTTGATCTAGCAAGCAGGAGGTCTTTTGCCCCGCCCCTTGGCATTGTTATAAAAAGCCCTTTTGAAGAGGCAGAAGGGGCTGTTGGGTATTGACCCAGATCCTCCCGAAGCTATCCTGTGTTTCTGTCTTTCTCCTCTTTGCTACCTTTCTAACTAAAAGTTTCTTATCCCTCTCTCCTCCTCCTCATAGGAACCCTGGGAAAGGTGGGAGCTGGCCTTCCACAGGGAAGCTTTAGTTTGGGGATGCCAGAATAGCAAGTGTGCCAATAGTTGGCCCAGGACTGTCTCCCCGTTCGGTGATAAGCCTGAGTAAGTAACTAAGGCTGACAAGATACTCAAAAGAAAAAGCAGCTGTGACAAACAGCAGGAGATGTTGTCAACGGAGGAAGCATGTTTGCCAGGACACACACTTGTCATGGAGCAATTTAAAATTGATTAAACATTTGGTATGAATTTTAAAATTAATTAGGGGATTATCTGATGAAGGAAAAAAATCAAAGTAGAAACCTAAGAGCTCATGAAGGAGGTTGTGGGACCCAGGCAGATGACGTGTGAACTGAATTTCAGATAGAAGCGGGGAAAGTCATAGACCCTGGAAAGACTGAGGTGGAATTGGAAGAAGCGTGAAGGATTACACACCACGGATGACACTGTGGACGGATGAAAGGCGAGGAAACGGCTCCGTGGGGAAAGTGCTCGCCGTGCGAGGGTCAGGACTAGCGTTCAGATCACCAGTACACCATAAAAGCTGTTGGGCATAGTGGCCCACCTAGAACCCAGCACCCAGGAGGCAAAGGCAGCATCCCCAAGGCAAGCTGGAGAGCTGGATGAGCTGAATCGGTGAGCTCCAGACTCAGCAAGAGACCCTGCCTCGGTAAATAAAATGGACAGTGATCCAGGAAGATATCGGATGCTAACTCCACACCTCCACATGCCTGTACACATGCACACCCGCCCACAAACATATGAACATGAACATAACCATTTATGTATACCATATACACATCTACACTCAAAAGCAAAGCAAAGCAAAGCAAAACAAAAAACCCAAAGTAAGAAAAAGTGAACCCAATATATATGAGACTTTCAAAAGAGCTTCAGCTTATGCTGTATGTAGATGTGATCTGTGCAGGAAAAACAGTCAAAACTACAGACATCGGAGCAAAACCCAAACATTGCAAGACACAGTTCGAAGAATTTTCCCTGCAACGCTGTAGAGTTGAATCTGTGTGTTGTATGAGAAATCTATGTGCCAGGACAACCGATAGAGTATCTGTCACTTAGGCACATCGTGAAAAACCCTGGCCTTGGGCTTCCTCATGCTTTGCTTTAGTTGTATGGGCACCCAGTGGCAGGTCTGAGGGACCGGCAGTGTTCTCCCATTAGTTCCGCCCTCAGCCTGCAGAGGATCAGATCTTTGCATGCCGGGCTCCAATGGTCGTCCCAGAGTCTATAAACAAAATTATGGTTCAACATTCCACAGCACATGTTCTCACGATCCCCTGTGGTTCTCCTTTGGGTCCTGTAGTCAGAAACTTGAGCCAGGCGGTGGTGGCGCAGGCCTTTAATCCCAGCACTCGGGATGCAGAGCCAGGCAGATCTCTGTGAGTTCGAGGCCAGCCTGGGCTACCAAGCGAGCTCCAGAAAAGGCGCAAAGCTACACAGAGAAACCCTGTCTCAAAAAACAACAAAAGAAAAAAGAAAGAAAAAAAGAAAGAGGTGACAGGACAGCTGGAAGCCACCAAAAAACAGAAAACTAGGGCCCAGTCCCAATGTCGCAACCCCCAGCAGGAAGGGGAAGCCAAGGCCACAGCCAGAAGGTGAGCCAGCCCATGGTGAGCGGTAATCCTAGCTGAAGGAGATATCGCAGTTATTGTAAACCTTAAACCAAATGGTGGTGGTGGTGGTGGTGGTGGTGGTGGTGGTGGTGGTGGTGGTGTGTGTGATAATAGCGTCTTCTCCGTGGCCAGTCACCATCCTGAGAGAAGGGCCTATTGTTTGAGATTGAGCTACTTAAAACATAAAATTCTATCTTTTTAAATGTATGTGTGTATGTTTGTGTCTGTGTATGAGTTTTTGACCACCGAGCCGAGCAGAGGACATCGGAATCCCTAGGGCCGGGGTTACAAGAGGGTTGTGAGCTATCACATGTGAGTGCCAGGGAATGAACCCTGGTTCTCTGCAAGAGCAGCGGTTGATCTTAACTGCTGAGCCATGACTCCTGCCCCAGACAGGGCTGTTCCTGAGACCTAAACACAAGAAGAGTTTCCACGCAGGGTGCCTTGGCTGTTCTACTACATTGTCAGGGCAGAAGGGGTCAGGGAGAGGTTGTCGCAAGGGAGGGGGATCTCGCACAGATCTGCTGGGAAGTTTGGGCTCCAGTGCTCAGCGGCTCTGAGCTCTGTGACAAGGAGCCAGAGCTACCACCGGAGGATTACTGCAGAGAAGGAGTGCAAGGCTTCTGGAACTGCCTCCCTGTCACCAGGCTTTGCTTTCGGGGACAAGGGGCTCTGAGCACAGGGGTAGAGAATTGCCCAGTTTCTCTGGCCTCCCTCGGAGCCGCTCAGTGTTCAGTGGGAGCTGAACGTCCTGAGCCCGGCAGGCAGAGTTCCCTCGGTACCTTCGCCCCAGGGCACTTATGAGTAGTCTGTTTACTTCCCCAACTCTCAGGCACTCAGGGGACATTTCTTGGCTTGGGCCTTCGCTACCCGTGGGTGCACAAGAGGGTGAGGCCCTGAAGGGAGGGGGGAAACTGCTGCCCGAGAGGCCGCAGAGGTCCTCGGGGCCAGCAGCAGCTTCCGGTGCCCAAACTTCAGAGAACGCAGCACTGGAGTGCAGACGGCCCTGGACCAGCTCATACCAGCCACGTGCAGCATCGGCCTCCACAGCTGGGCTGTAACAGTCCAGTGTTAGAGAAGCGGAAATAATTCAAGCAGTCATTAAATTTTAACTTCACATCTCCTTTGGACTGTATTTTTAGTACTGCTTTTTATTGTGCTTTTATTTTTACAATCTTTCACGATTTAATCTTGATTCCTCTTCTTGCCTGTAGCACTCGAAGGCTGGATAACCATGAAGACTGTATATCAGATCCTTCCATGTAAGCTGATGTCTGGCACACACAGGTAACCCCAGCTCTGATGGAGGCTGGAGACAGGAGGGTTCCCGGGCTTCCGGCCTAGCTGAGAACACAGAGTTCCGGGCTCAGGGAGAAACCCCACCTCAAAGGAATAGGCAGAGGGCCACTGGTAACACTCGGTGTCCTCTTTTGGGCTCATGTGTGCACGCAGCATACACTCTCACACACATGTGTGTATACACTCACTAACACAGGCACAAATAAACAAATAGACCTTTGGAGAACTTCTCGGTTCAGGGAGGAGGGATGAGAAAGAACAATTTGGGGGTGGATATGATCCAAGTATGTTTTAGGCATGTATGAAAATGTTACATGAGATTCATTAATTTTCACCAATATCACTATATTAGTATACACTAAAATGTAAAAGAACATATGAAATTAGTCATTAGAAGTTGTGAAGGTTTCAATGAAAAACTGCCCCCCATAGACTCAGGAATGTGAACACCTGCTTTCCAATTGGCACTCCTTGGAGAGGTGTGTTGGTTAGTTTTTTGCCAGCTTGACACAAGCTAGGGTTATTTGGGAAGAGAGACCCTCAACTAAAAACCAGTCTCCATAAGACTGGAGTAGGGGCAAACCTGTCAGTCATTTTCTTGACTAATGATTGATGTGCGGAGGCCCAGCCCGCTGTGGGCGGTGCTAACCCTGGGCATGTGGTCCTGGGTGCTATAAGAAAGCAGGCTGAGCAGCCATGAGGAGCAAGCCAGCGAGCACTGCTCCTCCACATCGTCTGCCTCAGCTCCTGCCTCCAGGTTCCTGCCCCGCTTCCCTCAGTGGTGGAGTGTTGGACAATGATGGTCCTGACAGCTGTAAGATGAAATAAACCCTTTCCTCATGCTTTCAGTCATGGTGTCTTATCAAAGCAGTAGAGACCCTAAGACAGGAGGTTTAGGAGGTGTGACCTTGCCGGGGGATCTGTATGTGTGTCTGGGGGGGGGGTATGGGGATGGAATGGGAGGTGGGGGAGGGGTGGGCTTTGAGAGTGTGTAGCCTCACCCTGCTTCCAGCGTTCTTTCTGCTCTGTGCTGTGGTTGAGAACGCGATCGCTCAGCTCCCCGGTCCCGCTGCCATGCCTCCCTGCCGTGATGGATTCTTACCTCTGGAACCACAGCCCGGTAAACCCTTCTATTAGTTGCCTTGGCCGTGGTATTTTGTCACAGCAACAGCAAACTGATGCAGATGACCTGGAGTCCACAAAGCTAAGGACTCCAGGTCATCAGTGGCCACATGTGGCGACAAATGCAGATGTTTTTGTAACTAGTTAAGGAAAGTTACTACTAAGCTAAAGATGAGCCAAAGCAGCCTCAGTAAACAGCAAAATCAGCTCAGGGACTATTACATCCAACGTTTTATTGCGTTCCTATGGTTCCTCAGAACGTTGGGTGGGGGGAGCATCTTAGGAGTTCCATTACATCATCCTTTTATAAAGTTCAAGGAGGAAACATTCAAAACAATGTCAGAGCTTCCATCTCCCACACAATCTTCTTAGGGGGTCTCTAAGGAGGGGACACTTGCCCCCTGCCACTTCTGTGGTCGCAAAGCATCTCAGTGACCTGCAGACCCACCAGCGAGGCACCTGACAGCCACCGTCATTCTGTGAGCTAAGGGGTAGGAGTGGGCGCAGTCCTCACCGACACCCAGCTCATACCCACGTCTGCTGTCTGTCTGTCTGTTCCGTCATCTAGTTCCTGAGCATAAAGGACAAGAGCAAGCTGGGAGGGGCAGATCAAGTAGATAGAATTCAGGTCTCAGATGAGAGCAAAACAGGACAGATTCTCAAAGAACAGACCAGATGAGGGCCACGGGGCACAGGAAGCCAGTGTGCACTCATAGTTCATCCCATCCACCCACTTCCAGACTCTTTCAGGGCCTGGTATATACGGAGCCTGCAAGTCTCTGGACAAAACCTTGGAATGCCAGAAAGACAATGGTGACATCTTCCCATCTCCCGTTCTACCAACTGCATAGACAAACCATTCTGAACATGGTCACTTTTCATGCTCATCCCAGTGCCCGACCCCATTAAAATGTTCGAGGGCAAAATGGTTTCTAAAGCTCCCAGGGTCACTCCGGGGTGAAGACAAGGTTGAGGACATTCCCATAAATGCGACAAGTCTTGGGAACCGAAAGTCAGAAGCCCTACCTGTCCTCCTGGGAGTAATAACCACCAGGTCAGCGTTCTTCGGTTGCTAGTACTTGTTGGCTTCAGACCAGCACTTCTTTGAAAATACCAGTAACAGCTGCCTTTATAATGGGACACTATACACTATGCCAATTAATGGGACAGCAGGTTCTTTCAGAGTCTGATGGGGCAAGAGGGGATGAAAAAAATGGAGGCTCTTCCCAGTGGGCCATGGACAGGAAGTGGGGCCAGCTGTACCCATATTCCTCCTTATCGTTACTCCTATTCTCGGTAAGCCGAGGATTTCCGGTCACCTGCTGCTGGATTTGCAATATCATAATCCTTGATCTGAAACACATAGATAAAGAGGAAGAACAGCGAACTGTGCTCTCCTGTCGGTGGGTTCCTGCAGCACAGATGCCCTGCGGAGCCCAGCCTAGGAACCTCCCTCAGTCCTGTGTGAGTTGTGCCCAGGCACAAGCGTCTTACCTGCTTTGGGTTCCTGCTTCTTCCCCTCCAGCCATCTCTCCATGGAAACTACCTTTGGGTTCCAACTGCAGCTAGAGGTGCCAGTGGTCCAGAACAGGAAGTTGCTCCCGCTCACACTCTTGGAGACCAGAGTCTCTCACCTGCTTCCAGTTCCTACCTAAAATTCCCTACCTCCGTTTTCATAAGTGGTGTTGTTTCTTGCAAGGTGTGGCCTGGAAGACAGGACTGGAGCTTAGAAGTCATGCTAGGTACCTGGATCTGTCCCAGCTCAGGGTCCCATCCAAGGCCTCCTCACTCTTGGAAGTCAGGGCCTGGATTTCAGTGCCTGTGTTTGAGGGGTGATTGTGGACAGTGGTTCTCAGGGAAACCAGTTCCCTTAGTAACTGGGAGTCTGATGAGATGGCTGGGATTGATCATACGATCTCTTTGCCGGGACTCAGAGGGTGCAGCAAGCCAGTTCAGGCAGGCACTGTTAACATCTGGTATTGCATGGAAGGAAACTATGGCTTAGGGGTGACGTAATGTGACCACGTGACCCAGTGAGTGGCATAGCCAAGGCCATTCCCATGACCAGTCCTTCAGCACCTCACCAGTGTCCCATCACTGTCCTCATCAGTCACTCTATGGTTCCCTCTGGCTGTCCATGACAGTGACAGCTGATAGTGAGAGGTGTTCATCTACAGTTGCTACGCACAGGGGGCACAACCCCCCACAGGCTACCACAGGGGGACAACCCCCCACAGGCTACCACGGGGGACAACCCCCCACAGGCTACCACGGGGGGCGCAACCCCGCACAGGCTACCACAGGGGCCGCAATCACCCCGCACAGGCTACCAGAGGGGGCGCAATCACCCCGCACAGGCTACCACAGGGGGCGCAATCCCGCACAGGCTACCACAGGGGCAAAATCCCGCACAGGCTACCACAGGGGGACAACCCCCCACAGGCTACCACAGGGGCGCAACCCCGCACAGGCTACCACAGGGGGCGCAACCCCGCACAGGCTACCACAGGGGGACAACCCCCCACAGGCTACCACGGGGGGGCGCAACCCCGCACAGGCTACCACAGGGGGACAACCCCGC